TGTGTGTGTGTGTGTGTGTGTGTGTGTGTGTGTGTGTGTGTGTGAGAAATGGTTTAATCTGCATGAATTAGAACAGGAAACTGCAGAGTGTACCGGCATGCTCCAGCTTTGTGCGGATGAGTAAAACATTAAATGACGTCATAAAAGCTTATAATATCAAACTGGATGTGCAGAGAAGAGTTTTTTTAAGAGCATTTTTCGGCCTCACGTACAATCGCTTGCCATCTGATCTGATGTCTCCCCTTAACTAGTAATCATTCCACTCATCTCTGCATTTCCCCACCAAACACTCCAGATCTCATCTACTTTTTGTGCGCGAGCCTGTGCTCTCCTCCTAGCTCTGTACCTTTCTCCAGGTCGGTGATCCTCTGGTGTAGAGACGTGAGCGTGGACTCCACTCTGCCGCGCTGCTCCGTCTCATTCCGGAGTCCGGGCTTCCCCTCCTCGATGCTGTTCACCCGGGACAACACCTGCTTCTCCAGGTCGTCGATTTTACTTTGGAGCAGGTCTTTGAGGCTGTTCGCCTGCACCGAGTTGTTACTTCTGCTGAATTGCTGTTGGGGGGGGAAATAAGCATTTAGCTTAATGTACAGAACGATTGTGAGTGGGTAGGCTATATACAAATTAACTTTTTTTAAATTCTATTAATATATCTGGACAAGCAACTTATTTATATCTAGCAATGTTTGTTTTCTCTTGTGTGCTCACAAGATGGTAAATGACACAAATCAATCCTTTTTTTCTTCTTCCTATTATTATTGTTTTTCTGTTATTATATTATATTAGTCTAGAAAAATGGGTTCGGGGTCGTAATTTGGAGTCCCTCAAAGTGATGAAACTGTCCTCAGAAGCAGCAGCCTACCTCCAGGTTTTCTAACCTCTGCTTTAGCGACTGTAAAGTCTGTGATAGTTGCGCCAAAGTGTCCGCGGGGCCCCTCGATACATCCCCCATCGTGTTTTTTGCCCCAGCGTCTTTCCTCCTGCCCCCGGGCCGCGCGTCCACGGGCTCGCCGCCGCTCTGGCTCTCGCATCGAGCCAACTTTGAGGTCAGTTCCCTGATGGTCTCTTTTTGGTTCATGATCGTCTCTTTCTGCTGCAAAACCGTCTCCCGCAGTTGCATGACGGTGGTCTTCAAGTCCTCTCCTGGCACGCTGTTCTGCAAAGTGGCTGCGCAAATGTCCATATCCTTGGGCACGGACGTACATATGAACTGCGTCTGTCCGCCAAAGTCTTGAGACGAACTCTCCAGAAACAGGCAGGAAAATAGAAAAAGTCTCCAACTGATCCCGCTCTTAGTGGCCCGCATGTCTGCGTCTGTGCCGGGTCGGACTTTTGTTTTGGGTTGATGAGCCGCAGTGACTTGACGCGCGCGTGTCCCGATGTTGTTGTACTCGCTCTGTGGAAGCGCAGCCGTTTTTATACAGCGAGCCTGGTTCTGCGCAGAGCGGGTTCACTGCATCACGACCGGGGGGGGGGGTTACCGCGCTGTCCCCGTTTAATCGGCTCTGGGAGCGGCGTCACATTCAAGAGATGAAACCCATTTTGCTTTCAGGCTCCCACGTGTTAAATCTTTCATCACTTCGACTATTTGTCATTTCTCGCTGTGTATTATTCATCTGCAAAACTCGCATTTGTAGGCAGCGGACTGCTGGCGTGGCGGGGTGCCAAGAGAGCTGTGTTTGTTGTATTTTGCGCACACGGAAAACTCTCTAATACACACACACACACACACGCACACACTGTGGGTGGATGGAGATCAAAAGTTACTGCCATTTGTTGTCGGTGGAGTCCCCGCAGATTCAGCATCAAGGAGAGCTCCAACCACATCACATTATCCCAGAGAGCACAGGAGCGTCTGGAGATGCTTAATTTTCTGTTGCTGCTGCCTTTTCTTCTCTCCGTTCGGCTCAACTGAGACTGATGTGCAGATTCACTTTGTGTGAACATGAAGACTGCAGATCGTGTTCTAAAATGTTCTCTGTATTTTCAGTTTTTCTGACCAGACATGTTTATTTGATGATGATTTTAGTTTTTCAGGTCAAACTCAAAGGCTGGTTAATTTATACCCCATAATCCCCACACACACACGCGCGCACACACACACACACGCAGGCACACACACGTACACGCACGCACACACACGCGCAGGCACACACACACCTCATTCCCACAGACCCTCTCCTCATCGCTGCTATAATCGCACCTCAGTTTCTGAAATGATAATCTGTCCCCAAGCAATTCATCCCATCTATTATTTAGGAGGGACAATCTTATTATTTTTCTCTGTAGCCCACTCGGCTCTTATCTATTCGGTCAGTATTGAAAATAAAAATGAAAACATTTTAAATAAGAAATGAAAACACATCGGCTCTCAGATTAAAATTGATTTCTTTGGAAAGATGAACATGGGGAAGAGGTACAGAGCATGAGACACAGAGGTCTGCGTGTGACATAATGATATTAGATGGAGGAGGTTAGATAGGTCACCGCCTAATTACTATCATGGGTGTGTAAAGCTAAATACTTTCTAGCTGCAGGCTTCTTTCAACAGCGAGGATATTGACACGGAATCACCCATTCAACTGTTGTCAGGAGGAAGAACTTGAGATCTTGGGTCAATTATCCTGTGTCACTGTACCCATATATGGTGGGTGAGAGTGATTGTGACTAAATGCTGCATTTGAGGGATTTCCACCTCATCACGCTCTCAAACATTTCCTGTCACATTTTTCCAGGACGTCAATCATCTGAGAGTTGTTGTCTCTATAATGTGTTGTCGTAATAGCTTTTTAGATTTTAAGAAGGCATTGCGTGATGATCTGTAAGTATGCATTAGGCAAAGTGAACAATTTTATATGTTATAAAACTTGTGTGT